CGGTTCTTCGAGCCATATATATACTTCTTGTATTCTTATTCCGATCTGACGGGCCATGTCGGTTACTACTGCTTATACTACTATTATTACGCAGAGAGTCGTATTAAGAGTATCAAGGTCGTTGTAGACGGTGCAAGCTCCGATTGCAAGCCTATTAATGCTGATGTTCCATAGGGCTGTGTGCTATCGCCAACGCTGTTTCTTCTGCATATCAATGACATGTTGCGTACCCGTAACATTCATTGCTATGCAGATGACAGCACTGGTGATGCTCTTTACACCGGCCAAGCCAATATTTCTCGGGAAAACGTCTCCGAGTGCCGGGACAAACTTGTGTCTGAAGTCGAGTCTCTGCTGGACAGTCTCGGATTGGGGGCGACTAAATCTAGTCCAGTTTAACCCCCAGAAGACACAAGTTTGCGCGTTAACCGCTAAAAAGAACCCCTTTATCGTATCCCCTCAGTTTCAAGGCACTGCCCTTGTTGCCTCAGCCAGTATCGGAATCATCGGCGTCGACATATCGAGTGACGTGCAGTTTCGTGGTCACTTGGAAGGGAAGGCCAAATTGGCCTCTAAAAAGCTTGGCGTGCTCAGCAGAGCGGGACAGTATTTCATGCCGGCACACCGCCTGCATCTTTACAAGGCGCAGGTTCGGCCGCACATGGAATACTGTTCCCATCTCTGGGCTGGGGCTCCCCAGTACCAGCTTCTTCCACTTGACCGCATCCAGCGCAGAGCGGCTCGAATCGTCGACGACCGAGTGCTTTCCGATCGGCTCGATTCACTGGCGCTGCGAAGAGATGTTGCATCTCTTTGCGTATTTTATCGCATCTATCACGGGGAGTGCTCTGAGGAATTGTTCGTATTAATCCCAGCCGCCAAATTTCGTGAACGCACTACACGTCAAACGTCCCGATACCATCCACACCATCTGGATGCTTGGCGGTCCACCACTGTACGTTTCACAAGGAGTTTTTTTCCACGTACAACCTCTCTGTGGAATAGTTTACCACCGGCGATTTTTCCGGACCGATACGACCTGGGGACCTTCAAGAAAAGAGCTTACTCCTTTCTAAAGGGCCGGCAACGCACCCGCAATTCTCCTGGTGTTGCGGTTGATCATGGGCGGCGGTAGTCACTTAACATCAGGTGAGCCACATGCTCGTTTGCTCCTTCTTTCTATAAAAAAGAAGAGAAGCTCCCCGCTCTCTCTTCACAACTCACTGAGTGATACGTGACCTTGGCCGTCCATATGGCCAGCATTCAACGACTACCTCTGAAATCCATAATGCTATTACTGGCAACATTCACTTTTGTTTTAAGGTAAAAAATCAGTCAATCCCAAACCCCGCCCAGCAAAGTTAGATCCAGCGATTGACCCCTGCGTCGATGTATTATGGACTTACTAAGTCGCACTATTTGTCTTAAGTTAACATACTTGTCAATAACTTTGACATAGGTGGGACATGGACATTACACATGCCATTTGTCTTGTCTATATTCCTCTGAAGACCTATCCAGTGGGAGATATTTTTGAGGTCACGAAGCGTCATACTAAGGTTCTCGATTCCTCTTTCCTCGAGCGATTCTCCCATTCACACACAGGTATTAAAGTAAAAGTTGCCAGACTTCTGATGATATGATCATCAATCCACCTGCAAAGCTTGGCAATTGTTGGCTAGTCCTCCCGACAATGGAGGGGCCACTTCCACCAGTGAATTATTATGGGACCGATATGAAGAAGAATGTTATTCAATTAAGGTTATAGGAGTACTAGGCTAAAAATTTTAAACACCCAGAAAAGGACGGCAATACCCAACTAGGTTATCGTGGTCATGGGCTATTTCCAATCAGTTATAAAAAGAAAAAATACACCTTATCTTGAAGTTCGATAACCTTATAACATTGTATAACGCTAATTTACGGCCCGAATTCCTTGACACTTGTTCTGGTTTTCCCAAGTTGTAATAATGTAATGACCGATAAACGGATTTATTACAATATATTTAACTAGTTACGCCCCACGGTTTTACCCGCATGTCTCACTCACACACACACATAGACACAATCAGACTATGTTGCTTTTGCGATTTCTTTTCATCTTCTGTTACAAACATAAAAAGTAATTGTAACTAATCGTATGTACGGTGCAATATGAAAGCTTCTTTTAGATAACAATTTTACTACGCAATGCTATACTCGTATTATACATCTTTGATCTTTTGGCTTCGTCAACTTATTTTATAACATCGTCGTTAACCGTCAGCGTATTATGCTTGCCTTGGCGGTGGTTCTGTGGTGTGCGCACAGCATTTATAATTAATTTAAAGATTTCTGATGAGCTCTGTTCTTGATATTTTTAAGGTGAGGATCAATGTTTGATCGCAATGATGGTTAATAATTATATATATTATATTGAAATTGAAATTATATTGAAATTATATAATATTGAAATTGCGGGCTTTCGTCTGATGGTGGTCTACCGCAGGCCGTCCTACCGTGGGCCAAATTTGCCACTACGTTAGCACTCTTAGACGATTGCCAACGTGATGGCAAAGTTGCCCCTCTACTTAAATATATATGTGTGAATGAGATGTGTGTGTGTGTCAGAGAGGGTAATAGAAAGTAAACCTGTGCTTGCACACACGTAAGTTTACTACCTACAATCGCGTCCTACGCATTTGCATACGACACGATTGTAGGTTGTTTACGATTGTAGGTGGTTTCTGGTAAGACTTTCGGTCTGGAGGACATTGTTAATGTAATTTTGTCTAAAGGAAGTTTAACAAGTTTTAAAATTAAAATTTTGTACAAGCGACGTCAAATGCGACCGAATCAATGTATTTGAAGTCAATTAATTATGAATTATTTAAGGATAACTCAAAAACCGTTAGTCAGATCTTGATCAAATTGATACGGTACACGAAAAGTACCCGCTGTAAAAAAAAGAATCAAGATCGGTTAAGCGAGGAAAAAGTTATGTGGCAACACACATAAAAAACATACACACGAATTGAATACCTCCTTCTTTTTTAAGTCTGTAAAAAGACTCCGATTCGATGTATTTTGGCTGCCCTTGATTGGGATGTTGTAGAAAGTTGTGAGTATATTATAATCACTACTTTTTTTGTGACTTTTTTACTTTTACTTCACATGCAATTCATACTCCATAGAGTAATAACTCACATTCGATTTAATCAATATAGAAGAAATAAGATTTACTTCTTGAAAAAAGCAATTAAATAGGAGAAATTGAAATAAAAAATTTAAATTTAGGTTATACTTAAAGTAATTATTTTAAATAAATCAATATTCAATTTACAATTTTAATAGGGTGGATAGGTACGTATATTTAGATTAGTAATTCTTGAATAAATAAGAAGGGAGATAAGGTAAAAAACTTACTTTCTAAGAAATTGCATTCAAAATAGACAAAAGAAAGTAGCTCATTTGAGCAACTATTAAGGTTAGTGAAATAGGTAAGAAAAATAATATAAAATATTCAAGTAGGTGGGTAGATAGAAGCGGTTAGAAAATAAATGTAGTTCATTATATATCTATAAGGGCGGCCGTACACGTGCCGCACGCGACAGCCAAAAACGCCGACACCTGAAGCCAATAGTGGCTACAAAGGTAGCTGTAGCGCGCGACGGCCACTTGTGATCCTTGGTAGATACTTGCGGTCGGTGGCCGCTACTTTTTTAGACTTCTGTCTTAGACTGGCCAGATAACAATAGATAATCTGTGGTTCGAAGTAAAGAAAAAAGTTTCAAATACATAGTGCGGGAATTTAAGAGAAAGACTTATTTCTCTTGCGAAATGTCAAAAATTAATAGAGTCAATGCCTCGCCGGTGTAAAGCTGTAACTGAAATCCGTGGATACGCTATAGACTATTAATTTTAATTAAAAATGTATTAAATTGTTTTTTAAATTTTCCGCGCTACATATTATTGTGATTTTTTAAATGTAAGTGTCATACAAAAAAATTTCCGAGCAGTTTAATAAATCTTTCTTAACTATTTGTCCAGTTTTAGTATTATTTGACTGAGTTACTTTGGTAAAATAAATAAAATGTGAAAAAAGATAGCGATTTTATTCTTTATTCCTAAGCCATGTTGCGCTATTAATGTGGCTATTTTATAACATAACAAGTTGCTTCTCAGAAGTTGCACATCTCTGTGTACGACATGATTTAAATAAAAATTTCTAGAACTGCAAATCGTTGTTAATTATGTCAGCACAACTATATATTCAAATGCATTCCTACCAAAAAGATAGTACTCGAGAATCATCTTTCCTGTAAAAATTGAATAATAATATTAGTTGATAGCAGAATACACCGAGGTGTTATGCAATGTATACAATGTATTAATTTGCTTATAATATATTAGTGTTCAATGTAAGGAAGTTTAATTTGCAACATCTAGAAAAATTCAGATAACACTTTTCATGAAATGTTTAATGCATCATGAAACTTTTTTGAAAGGTTTCGGTCCACTCAATAAGAAGATATATGACCATTGACCTGGCCTACCTGATACTACACATACAGGTAAGTCGCAAAACTTTCGCCCAAAAAAAGTGTTTGATTCAAATAATAATACTGACTATCCTTCAGCTAAGTTGGTAAAGAATTAAGAAAAATGGCAGACATTTCTGACCTACACACACCTAGGTACAGGTAGGTCAGGCAAACAGCCTACCCTTTACCCTTTGCCGAAATTTCATGATGCATCAAACACTTCATGATAATTGCGTCATGAGCTCTCGGACCATAGGGGACCGGGCAAGGTATATATATTTTCATGCCTAAAGCAGGGGGTGTGACGGGCCTGCTTAAATTAAAAATAAAATAAACATTTAGCTGTACGTAACTATTTGAAACTGCATATTCACTAAGTAAGAATAGGAGGAAAAGATAGTTTAGTATAAATTAACACGCAAGCTCTATAATTAAAATCAGTTGTAAAAGGAAACTGGGAGAGATCGCGTCTGCAAAATGTTGTTTATTATAACGGTGCTTATCGTGTTTTTTATCAGTAATGCAAATACTTTAAGTGAGTTTACATTTCATTAATAAATGTTCATATATATTTAAAACTAATTTAACATTATATCTAATAGTTACATTGTTATAGTTTATCCTAACATGATAAACGTTTAAGTATATTTGTTTGTATGTCTGTCTATGCTTCGATCATGCTTGATGTTTGATGGTTTATGATTAACGATTGATTGTTTATAAGTAAAACTAAAGTGGCAAACCAACTTAGTGATGACGACTCATCTGATGGTAAGTGGCAACTGCCGCGGTCACCTGCAGTCAACTCCAAACAAACAAGGCTACAGAACACGTAACTATACTGGCTCTACCGGAGCACTGCAGTGCAAGTGCTGCTTCTGCCATTAGGAGTAGATGTAAGTGTGCACTTCCCCAAATGGAATGTTAGGTGTAAATGTATTCCTTACACTTTGTAAATATAATGTGTATGTATATATAGATACGCAAAAAAAAAGCAAATTTAGTATCGATTATAATCAGTTAATATAATTTAATTTGTATTACAGAAAACTGTGATGACTGTATTACTATAGATCACTGTAGGCCCGCATTGGAGCGGGTTCTTGTGGACAAAAGTCCGGAAACAGAGAGACTAGTGAGAAACGCTTATTGTGGATACGATAAATTACCAAAGGTGAACTAAATTATAAACCAACCTAAAAGTAAAGTAAAAATTAAAGTTACAGCCTATATACGTCCCACTGCTGGGCTCAGGCCTCCCCTCATTTCTGAGAGGGTTTAGGGCAAGGAAGTGTCCGCCACGCTGCCCAAATGCGTGTTGACGAACTTCACATGTCTTCGAAATATTTTTTTTTCTTATTCCTCAGAAATGCAGGTTTCCTCACGATGTTTTCCTTCACCGCCGAGCACGTGGTAAATCAGCACTTAAAATTGCAATTAACAATTTCATTGGTGCCGGCGGGGATCGAACCCGGGTTACTCGCGTTCTGTTATATTTACAGCGAGCGTTAACCACTGAGCTACCACGGCTCTCCAACCTAGTTAGCAATTATTATGTTTATAAACAATTGTTACGATTCTCATTCACTAATCTACTTTCTATCGAAAGTATCATCTAATCACTGACATATATTACATATAATATCTAGCGTACTTATATATTATACTAGCGTACATCTAATATATGTCACCTACAAACACGTTATTTATGTCACCTACAAACACGTTATTTAGTCGAAACACGTTATTTACGTCACCTACAAACACGTTATTTGTGGCACCCACAAACACGTTATTTATGGCAACTACAAACACGTTATTTATGGCACCTACAAACACGTTATTTATGGCACCTAGAAACACGTTATTTACGTCACCTACAAACACGTTATTTATGGCACCTACAAACACGTTATTTATGTCACCTACAAACACGTTATTCATGGCACCTACAAACACGTTATTTAAGGCACCTACAAACACGTTATTGATGGCACCTACAAACACGTTATTGATGGCACCTACAAACACGTTATTTATGTCACCTAGAAACACGTTATTTATGTCACCTAGAAACACGTTATTTACGTCACCTACAAACACGTTATTTATGGCACCTACAAACACGTTATTTATGGCACCTACAAACACGTTATTTATGGCACCTACAAACACGTTATTTACGTCACCTACAAACACGTTATTTATGGCACCTACAAACACGTTATTTACGTCACCTACAAACACGTTATTTATGGCACCTACAAACACGTTATTTATGGCACCTACAAACACGTTATTTATGGCACCTACAAACACGTTATTGATGGCACCTACAAACACGTTATTTATGGCACCTACAAACACGTTATTTATGTGCACCTACAAACACGTTATTTATGGCACCTACAAACACGTTATTTATGGCACCTACAAACACGTTATTTATGGCACCTACAAACACGTTATTTATGGCACCTATAAACACGTTATTTATGTCACCTACAAACACGTTATTTACGGCACCTATAAACACGTTATTTATGTCACCTACAAACACGTTATTTATGGCACCTACAAACACGTTATTTATGGCACCTATAAACACGTTATTTATGTCACCTACAAACACGTTATTTAAGGCACCTACAAACACGTTATTTATGGCACCTATAAACCCGTTCTTTTGAAGGAGACGAATTGTTTTACATCTTTTGTTATTTGCTTCTTTTCTTTACTGAATACGGGTGACAAACTAGCACATAGTCCTACTGATGGTAAGTGGTTGCTGTAGCTCAGAGACATCTACATCTATCCTCAATTATGAATCAAAATACGATTGCGTTGTCACACGTAAGAAATAAGATGAAATACCTCCTTTCCAGTAAGAAGGGTCTTCGGTTTTCTACACTCACAATACGAAACACAGCAGCATTAAGCTGGTATTTCACGCTATACTCTGTGCATGAGCCTTCCCCGGTCGAACGACCAATTCGTGATACATTTATACTACTCATATAGCTGTAGCATGGCTCTACCACGTAAACATTGTTACCTACATAATATCTTAATATCAACAATAAGTACATACATTATGATTTTCTTTAATTACAGATTTGCTGCTCAGAGTTTGTGTTAACGCCATCTAAATATAATGATAGTGATGATATCGAAAATCATCCCAATGTCAAACTTCTTTCGGAAGATTGCGGTGAAATTGACGGAAATCGTATTGTGGGTGGAAGTGCAGCCTCTTTGTACGAGTTTCCTTGGATTGTTCTTATCTCTTACAAATGTACGTTTTAATAAATTTATTTGGTTAAGTTAAATAAGTAAAGTATAGGAGAGCTCTTAAGTGACATGAGCTGGTACTGGGAAATTCCGGCCCAGAGATGAGATCAATGTTCCATATGAGGCTAAACCTGCTCTTTGTAATGCTGCAAGCGGTAGGCCGGCCGGCATAAAATAGCGTTTTGATCTACTGAGTGCATCAATCTCTTTTGGTGCTAGTGTAGCCTTTCCTTCCAATTAATTCCTGAACTGTACGTCTTTCGAAATATCGACGCCAAGGATTCCGATGCTTGCTGAAGCAGCAAGAGGAAGTACGACAAAGGGGTTCCTTTCGCGGTAAATGCGTAAACATGTGTCTTTTTGGGGTTAAACTGGACTAGATTTAGCCGCCTTAAATTTTCCTCGGATGTTCTGTTTATCCGTTTAACAAAAATTTGACTTCAGACACAAGTGAGGTACGGCACTACGACGACGACGTGTTTGTAAGAATTATTAGCACGGCCGGTGTATAAAGCATCGCCAGCGTTGTCGTCTGCATATCAATGAAAGTTACGTAGTATGCAATATATTATTGCTATTGTAATGCTTCCCCCCCTCTCTCATAATAAAAAATATATATTAAATACTAAATGTATTATATTCCCCTTTATATTAAAAATTATATATATGTGATCAGGATTAATAAAATATGTTTTGATCTTTCTAAAGGTTTAATAATAGGCCGTTTGTATACTTGTCTTATTTATGTTGTGTTTGTTTAGTAACTTAGATCTTTTAGGTGTCTTTTGGAAGAATGAATATTCACTAGAGCAATTGAAAGCTGTTGGTAGTGCCTTATAAGCTAAGTGAACCCCGTTCACGAAGACAGGGCTCGAGAAAGATTAAGAACATAAAACGTTCCTATTCCACTTGTATCAGGTTTACATTATTAATTATCCCTTCCCTCTCGGAAAAGGCTCAAAATATATTTATACAAAATACCCGATACAAGGGCTTCGCTCACCTACATTCATTTAAAAAAATGTAGGGGGAGGCACACGGCCCCACACACGCCGTGCACGGTGAGTGCCAATCATTTTGATGCACTCCCCCCGAAGGGAACGCTAATTCGGGAACTGGACCGTAGTCCACAGCAAAATAACTGGCGAACCAGTAAAAGAGGCTTGGCCCCTTGTTAGTGCGTAAGCACAAACATCGACCGAAGTCGCGCATGTCAATGCGTGTAAACGCCAAACAGAATACGAACGAATCCAGCCACAGTGAATGTACGTCACACGGTTTAGGCAAATAGGCACACTGGCCGTAAACCCTCCGTGAGCGCCACCACCTGCAGACGTGATGTAAGTGTATGGCATCACCACCAATTGCATGATCAGCACGGCTACTAGCCGCAGAGCGTGTCATGAGTCTACCGCTCACCTCAAGGGAATGGGGTCCCACGTTGTGCGGCTTTCGGCCGCAGCCTTGAGAGTCTCCTCAGATCCTCCCGCCAGCTACCACCCGCATGAGGTCGACACATATGCTCCACCAACCAATACAACGGCAGATATAGCCAAAAGGCAGTTATAAGATTAGAGTAATAATTCGCCATCAGAAAGGGTTTGTGTCACTGACGTTGAGTAAATGCATTTTCGATCATGTTTGTCTCACCCACCAACAAGTTGCCTTCAATCATTCAAAGGTGGGAAAGTTACAGAGATATATTATTACGTTGTTATATAAAACATCGTGGAGGGCAGACAGTCTGCAGCCCCGTAATGAAGGGACCCGACTTGGGCAAAGCTACTTAGGTGTGAGTCAAACCAAGACGCAGAGAGCGCCATTGAGAATAGCGTCCCAGCAAACAACCATCGCAGAGACGCAATGCTGCAGAACGCAACAAGCATCAATACGACTATCGTCGGGCTTACACCATCCCAAGGTCCCCCATATATCCCAGCAGACATCACCACCCGCATACCTCCATCGACCAGTACCACAAGAGTGCGTCGAATCAGGCGCAGCACACCCGCAGATCCATCAAAAGACGCAATACCGCAAGTAGCAGTAAGCATCAATGCAACTATCATACGGATGGCGCCCCCTTACAACACCCCACATGAACCCTATCGATTTTGGTAACAAAGTTTTTATTGTTGTTATATAAAAAATATCACCAACGTATCATAGTAGCACGCTACTAAGACGCCAATGAACAAAACTCCACGTATCATAGCGCTAATGCACTAAGACATGAAGTTGAGTATGCCTGTTACACTTAAAAGTGTTAACCAAACACTCTCATCATCCCAATCCGAAAGATAGACGATGCATCGCTATGCGCTACTACGCCGCCCACAACGGTATGGGTGTGCGATGTCCACGGGAAAGCCGTATTGCTACAACAAACCCGCTTACCACCGGCACTAAGATGATATGTCTAGGATACATCGGTTAGCGAGTCCAAGTTTACCTCGGACCAATTGCTCGTGAAGCAGCATACACGCCACCATAATATTTCTTTTGAAGTCCCTAATAAGGACTAGTCATTTTGCTACAGTACTAGGAGCAGTCGGTCACCCGACCACCCCATGCAATGCTTATGCATCAAGGAGACCTTCAATAATAATGCTTTTGTATCATAGACCTTACTTTCATAAGTCATTCATATATAGGGTTCGAACCCACGACCCTACTATTGTAATGCATATTAATCATAGAGACCTTCTATAGTATTGCTTTTGTATCGTAGACCTTACTTTCATAAGTCATTCATATATAGGATTCGAACCCACGACCTTACTTTTGTAATGCATATTAATCATAGAGACCTTCTATAGTATTGCTTTTGTATCATTGAGTTTATTATCATAAGTCCCTAATATAGGACTAGTCATTGTGCTACAGTACTTCAGGCAGTCGGGCTCCCGACCACCCCATATATATGTACAACTGCAGGTATGTATCTCCGACAGCTCCTCCATACAAGACATCTATACATGAATACCTTCCATAACTTAGGAAAATTTTCTTTTATACATGAACTCCTTCCACAACTTAGGAAAATTTTCTTTTATACATGAACTCCTTTCAAGACTTAGACAATTTTCAACAAATTTTCTAATTATCTTATTAATTTTATTTATCTTTATTTTTATAATATTTTTGACTTGTATTTCTATTAATTATCTTATTTTAAATATTTTTTCAAGTTTTTAATAAATTTATTTATTATGGAAGACAATATTTTGCCTTTAATTTACTATGTTATTGATCTAATGTCTGAAATGTATTTATATTAACTTTATGGTTATTAATGTAATTTTATTGTTTAATATATATCTTTTAAGACTATTTTAACGCCCCTTTATATTGAATTTGATTATTAATAATAATATTGGGCCGTCACACTATGAAGAAGTTTTCCTTCTTGGAAAAAGGTTGGAATTGGAGCATACAACATCGGCAGCAACCTTAATACTCCTTAATATGCAAGAGAACTGATTACGAAAATGAATAATTTCTCAGGTAGCCCATAAGGGGGAAGCTTCGAAAGAAGCGCTTTGTGCCAAACCCGGTCGAAGACAGACAAACAGAATTTATTGAAGTCACTTTTTTTCATTACCACTACCACTGGTTCACAAAAAAACACCTCTGTCCTGGGATGCTGGTTCAGACACCCAGCGGGACCATTTTTTTTTAAATGAAAGCTTACAATCATATATGTTCCAATTATTTCACAAAACAAAATAGAAATAGCATTGGAAGCGATCACCCTCCATGCTTTGGACAGGTCCGAGCGGTCACCTTTTTTAGGTATCGGGAGCACCAATACTCTTCTTCTTTTCTCTTCTCTTTCATGAGCTTCAAATTGGAGGGAAACAAATCATTACTTTTTGATCCAAAAACGTCAGAAGAATTATCTTTTCTTCTTCTTCATTGTCATCAGCCCGCAAAAGACTACTGTAAGCCTTGGCCTCTCCCACTGTACTAAAAATTTCTATGCCAGCGAATAGCGGGCACAATTTGTGTTAAATTCTTATTCAATACGAGTATCATCGTATTGAATCAGTACATTGCTAAATATATATTGATTATTATTGATATTTTGGTACAAGGCTAAACTTCTTAATACTTAGGTTATAGAAAAACCGGTGTATTTATTGTTCTTAATTTCAGATGGACAGTCGCTGAAGTTCGAGTGTGCAGGTACCTTGATAAATTCAAAATATGTATTAACGGCAGCACACTGTGTCCAGAACAGGACCATCGCCGGTGTCAGAGTTGGAGAATACGATATCAGTTCACGTGTTGACTGTGTGGGAGAAGGAGAAACCCGCGTTTGTGAGACTAGACATCAGGTAATCAAAGGATTTCTTTATATATTTATTTGAAATGGGTATCGATATCTCACGGGGTAAACACTGGCTGTAAATTTTACATACATAAACACTCACGCCTGTCACCCAGAGGGGTAGGCAGAGACTACAGACTTCCATTTGGCACGATCCTGACACACCTCTCTTGCCTCCTTCACATCCATACACCTACGCATACATGCTCGTTGGTTAAGGGTACTCCTAATTTGGCCCGTTTTCAATAAATCGCCAATTTGGTCGATAAATTTTCGCCTAGGACGTCTCTTTCCGACTCTGCCCTTCACTTCTGCACCATAAATTTTCTTTGTCACTCTTTCCTCATTCATTCTTTCCACATGTCCAAACCACCGAAGCATTCCTTTCTTAATCCTGGTCACAACATCATCTTGCAAACCACACTCTTCTCTTATTACACAATTTCTTACCCTGTCATTCAGATTCAGCCCTAACATACCCCTTAACGACCGCATTTACATTTTTAATTGTTTTACCGCCGCTTTAGTTTCATCACCGCGAATAATCGGCACAGCATTGATGCAGATTTACCACATATTCAGCAGTATCGTAAATATCGTGTGTAAACTTTTTCTTTCTGAGGTATATAGTACTTCGAAGATAATTAAAGTCGGCCAATATACACTGGAGCAGCACATAAGTGAGGCCTGTGTCAAGCAGATAATAAAATCTCATTTTTGCGTAGCTCACAACATTGTCTTCATGTTCTTTTTTTTTTGTTTTGGACATTTGCTATAGGCGTTAGTTTTGGCAGCTGTATTAGCGATCGTACTAACAAGCATCTCGCAACATTGATGGGATATTAATACGCAATGGTTATACCATCATGTACAAGAGACCTTGAGCTTGGCTATTTCACAATAGTTTATCTTGACACAAACAGGACGATATGGAAAATTACCTCTCTTAAGGACGGGTACGATCCGTCGGTACGAACCCTTGGTTCAGACTGATCGAAACGACGGATCTGTATTGTATGCTATGATCGTTAGCGATTTACTTGATCGCAGACGCCATCGGAGATCGCAACAAAAACCCAGGCAATCTTGAATGTCGTATCGATAAATCGACTGTGTATGGATCTTTGCGATCGACAAGGTAGGTACGTCGGTTCCGTCATTGTCATATAATTGTGCCATTCATTTTGGTGAAACTTCAATTCCTTTAAAATATTTATAATACGCGAATATTGATGTCGTTTTAATTGCCACATTTTAACCCATACTTTTCTACGCCGGCCGAATTAAATTAATCGCAAAATGAGCATAGAAAAGAAGCTCGTTTTCCATTTTAAAATATGACACGTAAATAATTATTCGGATTTTAGTCTGCTATCACAAACTCTTCTCTCTTCGTCTACTCGTCTTTGTCGTTCTGTTTCAAACAAGTAAATAATCGATCGCGACGACAAATCGTTTCGTGTGTGAGCGGTAAGCTTCGAGCGATCTATCGTCACGATATCCTTTCAGATTGATCGTAACGACGGGTCGTTCCGTATTCCTCCTCCGTTCCTCTTTGATTTACAATTTAATCGATTTTATAAAGATTTAGAATTAAATTTAGTTACATAAATATGCAGCTTAAAGTTCAAATATTTTACTTCGAATGCGAATCTGCTACGCTTTAAATCAAATACGTCCTAGAACCGACACAATATATAATGTATAGAACTCATAGATCATTACTTATATTATGGGAATATAAAAACTTAAGCTATGATAAAACTAGGCCATATTGTCATCGGTTCCTTAACAGGTTTGTAAAATTAAAAATTATTCAGAAGTCTGGAAGTGGTTTAAATTGATTAATTGATTGTATTTATCATCGTTACCATTACAGTCCCTCACAAGTCTACTCTAGTGCTAATCTTAGGCCTTCCCACAGATTAACGTAACCTGTGGACCTTCCCCAAAGACTAAAACCTGAATGTGGCAAGTTCGATTTAACTTCTCTTTCTATTTATTTTAGGATAGATATGTTGCAGAAATCATCACTCATAATGAATATAAAGCCGCTCCGAAGGTGATGAACGATATCGCTCTACTTCGCCTGAGCCGACCCGTTAACTTAACTTATAGTAAGTTTTTTACAAAACAAACATAACTAAATAACGGTGTTAAAGTAAACAATAATCGTAAGATATCCTAAAAAGTAATTTATTGTTATGATGCTATTATCTAATATTATGTGCATCTATATAAAATAAATTTAATTATTTCTCAATAATGCTTTCTCTTTGGGCAGCTTTTCCCCACTCACAATTTTAAATGAGACTGGATAGTTAGTGTAAATTATATTTGTTTAAAAATAACAAAATATTATGTTAAAAATAATAAAATATATTGGTGACGCTAATGGTTTCTAATTCTAAATCCGGAATGAAGGCCACAAGGTGGAGTGGTAGGGTTCCTGGGTTCGAATCCGGAAACGGATGGTCACAAAATGGTTAGGGTGACTAGGTTGCCCTTCGTATCCGGAGTGAAGGAACCACAAAATAGTGCGTGTCGGATGAATGTCTGAATGTTGAATGAATGAATGAATGATGAATTGAATAGAAGTGAGGAGGAAAGATATTGCCAGCTAATATAGTTGAATTAAATGTGCGTTTCGGCGCAACCATATATTATACTACTATACATATTAATAAATATATTATAATTTCATATGTGTAACGATTTATTATTTCAGAAAATTCAGGAACAATATGTCTGCCAGTTATGAAAAGCTTGCGTGAAATGAATTTAGATGGTGAGAGAGCTACGGTTGCGGGTTGGGGTTTTACTGAGAACTATCAAAGATCCAATGTTCTACTTAAAGTCGAATTACCCGTATACTCTCCCAAAACATGTAAAGCTTATTATAACAGGTGAGGATTTATTCTTTGTTTTTTTTGTTTTTTGTTTTAGTAACGGTTTAAGTACAAAAACTTACAGAAAGAGTTTTAGCCTTAGAAACGTGTTTTTGTGTTTATGTCGCATTTAATACTGCACATACCCACACAAAACGGCAAGTTATACTCCTCAGTATTCTTTATAATCTGCCAAAGTCTTTACTACAATAGACCACATACATACGTCTATGGTACTAAAGCATTTTTAATAAAAACGAATCGGTCGAATCACGTAGAGGGGGCTCAGAAGCGAAATCGGTCTGTAATTCTTCAAAAGGGGTTTATCATCTTTCTTGAAGAATTATATCCCAAGTAGTGTCTGAAGGTTCATAAGTTACTCGGGGAATTAAGGACGTTAAGTACTGTTTCACCATCCGCTTTATTTTCACACTTACTTCTTTAACTTATTCTTCTTTCTCTCTAGTTTATGCCCTTGTCATAGCTCTCATAATTGTCGCACTTATTTAAATCTTTCAAATTTTCTACCGTTACGAGTATACATACGTGTGAAAGCATATCCACATTTTGCTTTATTGTGACTACATTTTCTCTTCCTTTCATAAATACGATATATTCAAATAAAGTTATATTCATGTAAAGCCTAATAAAATTTTAACAGTAACTGTTTATGTTCTAATAATGAAAATAATCAAGGGTCTAAAATATTTTACTCAACAAACAATAGCAGTTTATTCTTTTTGTATTGAAGGATATTTACTTTCGTCTTTATTTAAAGGCCTCCTACAATACGCTCCTTGTTTCATATTTTTGTTATAAAGTACTGAGCCAATAGCATGCCAGTAACTGTTGGGCACAGGCCCCCCTCACTTCTGAGAGGGATTTTAGGGCAAGAAGCGCTGCATTTGTGTTTGGCGCCTCCCTCTTTAACCGGAGATCCTATTTGCTAAAAACGAGGAATTCCATATTAGTCCTGAGGGATAACCACATTTGCATGTTGATTCTTAATCGAGGATAAATTAAGATGTTTATAGGCCTCAGCATCCACATAGCATCAAGTGGATTGTATGCTCGTATTTTTAGAATTCTATTTAAAAAATGTGTGTGTGTGTGTGTGTGTGTGTGTGTGTGTGTGTGTGTGTGTGTGTTTTATAGGAGAGGGAGCAAACGAGCATGCGACTCACCTGATGTTAAGTGACTACCGCCGCCCATGATCAACCGCTACACCAGGGGAATGGCATGTGCGTTGCCGGCCCTGTAGAAAGGAGTAAGCTCTTTTCTTATAGGTCTCTAGGTCGTATCGGTCTGGAAAAATCGCCGGTGGTAAACTATTCCACAGAGAGGTCGTACGCGGAAGAAAACTTCTTTTGAAACATACAGTGGTGGACCGCCAAGCATCCAGATGGTGTGGATGGTATCGGGACGTTTGCCGCGAAGTGCGTTCACGAAATTTGGCGGCTGGAATTAATCCGAACAATTCCTCAGAGCACTCCCCGTGGTATGTGCGAAAGAAAATGCAAAGAGATGCAACATCTTGTGGCGGCGCTCAAACCGCTGTTTATAATTCGGACTTTTGATAGTGTGATTTAGGCTTCAGTGTGTTTTCGCTTGAATCTCTTCGTAGCGCCAGTGAATCAAGCCGATCGGAAAGCACTTGGTCGTCGACGACTCGAGCCGCTCTGCGCTGGATGCGGTCAAGTGAAAAGAGCTCGCACTGGGGAGCCCTAACCCAGAGATGGGAACAGTATTCCATGTGCGGCCGAACCTGGGCCCTGTAATGGTGCAGGCGGTGTGCCGGCATAAAATACTGGCCCGCTCTGCTGAGCACGCTAAGCTTTCCTGAGGCCAATTTGGCCTTCCCTTCCAAGTGACCACGAAACTGCATGTCACTCGATATATCGACGCCGAGGATTCCGATATTGGCTGAGGCAACAAGGAGAGTGCCTTGAAACTGAGGAGATACGACAAAGCGGTTCTTTTTAGCGGTTAACGCGCAAACTTGTGTCTTCTGAGGGTTAAAATGGACTAGATTTAGTCACCCCCAATCTGACAACTTTGTTCAGCAAAGACACGACTTCAGACACAAGTTTGTCCCGGTACTCGGAGACGTTTTCCCGAGAAATATTGGCACGGCCGGTGTACAGAGCATCACCAGTGCTGTCATCTGCATAGCAATTAATGTTACGGGCTTGCAACGTATCATTGATATGCAGAAGAAACAGCATTGGCGACAGAACGCGGCCTTGTGGAACACCAGCATTAATAAGCTTGTTATCGGTGCTTGCACCGTCTACAACGACCTTGATGCTCCGATCTGCAAGAAAGCTGGTGATCCAATTGCACAATTTCTCGGGAAGCCCATAGGATGGGAACTTCGAAAGAAGCGTTTTGTGCCAAACGCGATCGTAGGCCTTCGCAATGTCCAAACCTATGCCCAAACCTATGGCCAATGCCTCCCACTTGGGCTCTATTGTCTTCGCCCATCAATGAGTTGGGTAGACCAGAAGATCACCAGCTGATCGGCCACGACGAAAACCGTATTGGCGATCACTAATCAGCTGGTGATCCTTAAGGTACCTCATGAGCTGGTAGTTTACAATGGACTCCATTGTTTTGGAGAACAAGGAGAACATGACGATAGGCCTGTAGTTGGACGGGTCTGAGCGGTTGCCTTTTTTAGGGATCGGGTAGACGAAAGCTGTCTTTCATGATTTTGGGACTACGCCTAGGGAGTAGGAGTAACGGAAAAGACGCGTTGAGACCGGTGCCAACTCTGGAGCACACGTCCTTAGCACAATTGGGGGATTCCGTTAGGCCCACTCGACTTGTGGATGTCCAGGGAGAGGAGTGCTTTCCGAACCGAGCACTGTGTTAACTGCACCTCCGGCATGGAGCACTCACACCGCGGGATGGTCGGCGGCGTACTTCCCCTGTCATCGAGAGTCGAGTTGGACACAAAGAAAGAGCCTAGCACATCGGCTTTCTCCTTTGCGGTATGGGCCAGTTAGTCGTCCTCCCTGTGAGAGATGGAAGAGATGGCTGACACAAATTCCTCTGGATGACCTTGGCGAGAGACCAGAGTGCACGGATTCCAGAAGGAAGGCGAACTAGTTTCTCGCCAATTCTGCCTATGTGCTCTGACTTTGCCTTGTCAATGACTCTTTTGATGTGTGTGATGGACTTGGTTATGTCATGCTCGCTTAAAGGTGTCTGCTTGCGACGGCGTAATGTGGCAGGTCATCCACCTCCGTTATAATGGTTGATGAGGGCGATGGGTGCTACATGCTTCATACTTGTAAACAGGCGCTGCTTGGTGGGATGGTCTGCTCAGGTTCGCTATAATAAGCTCAAAAATTTTAATCGTCTTTTTGGAGTACGTAATAGAACACACTTCAGCAGATAGGTAGTACCACTTCTGGCTCACTGACTATTATATTTTCTTCTCCGGTTAGTTAAACCTTTTTTCGAAACGGTAGTAGATTTAGGAGGTTTAAAAAAATTAGATTTGACAAACGAAATTAATTTTCTTACGTAGAAGAAATTAATATATTTAATTTCACTCTCTTCAATCCAGGTAAGACACATCATTGTATTTAATTAAGCAGATGGTTGCGAATTAAATTGAATATCTTGCTAATAGACTGCCCATGTATACCCACGTACCAACGTATATAATATGCAATTTGGATACAGATGATAAACCAGGGTCACATTGGGTAGCTTTATATATCGATATGAATGACGTCGGTCAATATTTTGATTCATATGGACGATCCCTGTACGATATCATCTAGAGTTTTAAAAAGGAATTGTAAAAGATGGAACTGGAATGTTGATAGGATTCAGAATGAGTGGACTTCAGTTTGTGGCGAATATTGCTTAATGGTTTTGCTATATAAGTTTCTGGGATGTTCAATGCATAGTTCGACGAATATATTTACAGGGAACACATTGTACAATGATATTTTAGTGGATGAGATGTTTCGCTCCTATTTTATAGCTTATTCAGATTAGCGTTGTAGATAGGAACAAAGAAGTATAATATAATAGCACTGATAAGCCGACGCATACGCCGGGGAAAAACAGACAATGACGGTATTCAACGAACAATAGATAAATAGATAAGAACAATGGGGCGCTAATGACGGTGGAGACCCTCACCGGATATCAAGTAGATAAGAGGTAATTGATCTGCACATCTCCGAAACCGTGCATCCTACGCAAAACAGACCGCAGATTCGTGATCAGAGAATGCCAAAACCTTTTTTTTTTAGGATCGTGAGTCGACGAACGTTGTACCACTTCTGACTCAGTGAGCCAGAAGTGGTACTACCTATCTACTTACTTCAGTTACCCATGGGTCTGTCTGCCTCGTTGGTCTAGTGTTTGTAGTAATACGCCAGTTGATCATGAGGTTATCTTATATCCGAAAATCTTCACCTCTAAATTGGATGATGTTTGATTGTTTAAGAGAATTTAGTCTTTTTTTTCCATTACAGGAATCAAAGGTCTGATAACACTGACGGGTTGAAACATAAACTATGTGCCGGTGAGATCGGTCGAGATTCATGCCGAGGCGACTCCGGCGGTCCCCTTATGCTTGAAGGTCATTACAATGAGTCGGACAGATATATCCAATTTGGTATCGTTTCTTACGGTCCGTCACAGTGTGGTTCTAACACCCCTGGAATATACACAGATGTCAGAATGTTTATGAAATGGATTTTAGATACTATCAAACCCTAGAAAAGGTGTATGTAAAGAGGAATGAAGATGACAATTCGGTCTTGCAAAACTTGCTGCAAGATATGCTTGTCAGAAAATTTAGATGTTGATATTGTCAATAACTTTCAATAATGTATTTTATTGCATAAATTAAATCAATATAAATTTGACTTAATTTTGTTTCTTTTAAAATTAAGAACGTTTTGAATTCAATGTTAATATTTTTAACGAAAAAGTAAAATTTCCTAACTTCATTAAAAACAGTAACATAGAGTCGCAGCAATAATGATGTTTTATTGCTTTTGTGATTCTCTCTCTCTCTCTCTCTCTCTCTATATATATATATATCAATTTGAAGCGACAGTAGCCTAGTGGCAGGGCGCGGACCGCGAACTTAAAAGGTCGCGAGTTCGAATCCACCATTCGACTACTGTCGTGAATCACTCCTAACACAAGCATTTTTCAGCTTACCAGGAGTGGTTAAAGGGAATATTAGTAATGTTAATTAATAGGATTACTAATATTTTTTTTAAATATATATAATCAAAGGCAGTAACGATTTTGATGAAATTTTTCACAATTAAACCCGGTAGGTGTCACTGTTATTGAGATCTAGAAATCACCCGTGTGAAGCCGGGGTGCATTGCTAGTTTTTTTATATAAAACTAGAGTAATAGCTCATACAATACATGATAGCTCTATGGTAACAAACGAATTTACAGTTGGGAAAAACGTAGGTCGAGGCGACGATAACAAAATGAAAAATGTGTGTCCACTTCAATAAATTGCTTTAATATGTAAAGACTCGCAAAAATGAGGGCAGTGCAGTCGACCATTAAAATCAGAAAGAAAGCTACATTCATGTGCTCCATAGGAAGTAAAACTTTACAAATTAAATCACTAATCATAGACAAATCCTAGATAATATGAACAATTGATTAAGGCTCGTACATATTGTAAAAACAACAGTCCACCTGATAGAACCACACCTGATAGAAATAACAATACACCTGGAGTGGCTACTGTAGTCCACGGAATCCCACAAACAACTTTAAACAAAGAAGGCTTCAGACGCAGATCTCTGAGGACTAAGACTGAATGCCTCACAGTCTGTAATTGTATGTAAAACGTGCAAGCACTGCCATTTGGTCGCAGGAATAGGTGAAAGGGAGGTCGGTCAGGGTGGATACCCTGACTGACTGCAAGCCAATAAAGAAGCTCAACCACCTGGTGTTGAATATTAATGCCATACAAAAACGAATCAATGCAGTAAGGAAAATTGTAGTATAAAATACTATCCTTTGTCGTACCTGCAGATTCCATCTCAATCCTCAGTGACAATGTATCTGAGTAGCTAACTGCTGCCAGGTGGGCTGAGTATAATAAGAATCAGTGTAGTGCTTTTTGGCTATCTGACGATGATCGAAGTTCAGAGTAGCGAAGCGCTCAAGGGCCTATGTAGTATAAGGCTAGCACTCAGCTCAAATTTTAATTTCGCCCCCACTTCCCCGTGCGTCGTATGCTATTTACCGACATATTTGTAATCACTAATACTGTAAGTAGATAGGTCGTTAGATACTTATTTCTTTGGTTTTATCATATTTATGTCTGTTTCTTTACGCCAACCCAGTCGCTTCTTATTTCATTACGGTTATTTCCCATTTTAATTTTATGACATGCTGTTACGTAATGTGTATTCTTATCATAAACGCAAAGCTTTCCCATACGAAAGCCAAAGCGAGACTGATCGGGCGGCAGGGAAGCCGTGCCGTCTGCCGGAAGCCGAACAAGGTTCAGGACGCCGATAGCTTAGGTAATTTCTTTTTACAGTGACATTATGGTTATTAAAAAAACATAAGCCCCGTTTTATAATTAGTTCAGTTAGTATGGAAAGTTTTATGATCTAATTTAAAGTATTTTATGAATACCAGCGGTTTATTGTTCAGTTTGGAGGTAACTTTGGATTTTTTCTATACATATACATACATAAACACTCACGCCTGTCACCCAGAGGGGTAGGCAGAGACTACAGACTTCCATTTAGCACGATCCTGACATACCTTTCTCGCCTCTTTCACATCCATATACCTACGCATACATGCTCGACGGTTAAGGGTACTCTTAATTTGGCCCATTTTTAGTATATCGCCAATTTGGTCGACAAACTTCCGCCTAGGACGTCCCTTTCCGACTCTTCCATTCACTTCTGCAACATATATTTGCTTTGTCAGTCTTTTCGCATTCATTCTTTCTACATGACCAAACCACCGAAGCATTCCTTTCTTAATCCTGGTCACCGCATCATCTTGCAAACCACACTCTTCTTTTATCACACAGTTTCTCACCCTGTCACTCAGATTCAGCCCTAACATACTCCTTAGCGACCGCATTTCTACTGCATTTATTCTACTCTCGTGCTTCTTCTGGCACACCCAACTTTCACTACCATACGTTAAATAATAAGAAGTACTATCACAAACAAGAGCCAATGAATGCCTCTCTGATTCAGTCAGTGATTAACTGAGATAACCATTCCACACAGATAGATACAATTTAAACAAGTTAATGGTACTGATGACTGAATATAGCTAATAGATCTGGGCTGGTTATGATGGAGTGCCTCTTGTGTTCTTGAAGTCCTGCACCGACAGTTTAAGTTACCCAATCTCTGTACTTTATAAACTTTCTCTACAAAATTCTGTATTCCCATCTCATGGAAAAGGGCGCATATAATTCCTGTTCATAAAAAGGCGCTAAAACTAAGATAGATAATCACCGCCCAATTTCGATTCTTAGCAATGTTGCGAAAATTTTTGAAAAACTAGTATTTGATAAAATTTATCCAATTATTATAAAAGGTATACCTAATTCTCAACATGGTTTCTTGAAAAGATGCTCTACAATATCTAATCTTGTCTGGTTCACTAAGTACGTTCTCAATAATATGGAAAATGGTGGTCAGGTTGACGTTATATACACAGATTTCGAAAAAGCTTTTGACCGTGTAAATCATGTTGTATTGCTACAAAAGCTCCAGGCGCTCGGAATTCATGGGGATCTGCTTAGATAGGTCAAATCTTATCAGACGAATCGATCTCAGGCAGTTGTTCTTGGAGGTTACAGGTCAGATTTTGTTACTATCCCATCTGGCGTGCCTCAAGGCTCTCATCTTGGCCCTCTTTTCTACAACGCATACATATTTGCTATACATAAATTTATAAGTAACTCCCATCACTTACTTTACGCGTTATCGCGTTTATTTTTTCTTACTTTTTATTTTTATTTTTAATTCCCGACGTTTCGGGCGCTTTCCAGCACCCATGGTCACGGGGGACTGAGATGACTGACGTCCCGATGTCATTGTTAAACCCGGAGTACCTTCAGCTTTTTTAATTATTGTTTATGGTCCGATCTATGCAAAATGAACTGACTATGTCCTGAGGTCTTGCAGTGGTATGCTTGGGTTTAGTTTTAATTTTATTGATTATAGGATCCCAAGCAGGTGGTAGTACCCAGCCTCCTTCTCTATTGAAATTAGGATGTTTTTTAATTTCAATAGCCTCACGTATCATCCTTGGTAGGAATCGGTGTTCTTTCGCGAGGATTTGTGGTCTATCAAATCTGATGTAATGGTTGGGGCCGTCTAGGATATGATCACAAACTGCAGACTTCCCTCATATCCTAGACGGCCCCAACCATTACATCAGATTTGATAGACCACAAATCCTCGCGAAAGAACACCGATTCCTACCAAGGATGATACGTGAGGCTATTGAAATTAAAAAACATCCTAATTTCAATAGAGAAGGAGGCTGGGTACTACCACCTGCTTGGGATCCTATAATCAATAAAATTAAAACTAAACCCAAGCATACCACTGCAAGACCTCAGGACATAGTCAGTTCATTTTGCATAGATCGGACCATAAACAATAATTAAAAAAGCTGAAGGTACTCCGGGTTTAACAATGACATCGGGACGTCAGTCATCTCAGTCCCCCGTGACCATGGGTGCTGGAAAGCGCCCGAAACGTCGGGAATTAAAAATAAAAATAAAAATAAAAAGTAAGAAAAAATAAACGCGATAAAATCCGTAAAAGTAGTTTTAATCATGTGCAATGTTCGCGTAAATATAAGAAATCGCGCATTATAAATTGAAATATGAAATATAACACATTTTTCGCGATGTAGTGTAAGATTTTACGATGTTTATAGGAATCAGACAATATTATTTAAGAAACAAAAAATAAAACGATGTGGGTCATGGTATTTATGGAAATCAATTAGACAAGGCTAAAGAGGTATTAGTTAATGGCAGTGGCAATTAATTCCTTTTGGAAAATCCCAATTGTTTATTTTTTTACTGCTTCACAGAAAGCAACATTTCTGAAATAGTGCTTCATAATTAGATTTTGTAAAATTTGCAGCTGTCATTTTTGATGAAATAGCATCTAATATAAATACGGTACAAATACTAGGAGCTAATTAGAGCACCGCTCCATTTAGACTGTACTTTTACTCTAGAGGACAAAAATATTACTTGCGTAATATTAGATACTAAAAGTTGGTTAGTAATACTTTTGCGGAATACGACATTTTTATTATTAAATTATATATTATTTAAAACGAAATTCTTTAAATTTCTGCCAACTTCAACATGACATCGATTTGCATTTAGCAAACAAGGTAAAAAATGTGTCAATTTTGTAAATCACAAAATGAATGTATGTAGCAGCGCAACCGTCAAGTAATTTTGTTACAACCAGCTTAGAGTTCTGCAAAGGCGTATTAAAATTATCTATGTTCGAAATTTGCCAAGCAACAGCAGATTTTTTAAATCGTATAAACAGCATATTTGACATTTCCAACTCCAGAAATTTACTCAGCTACGGAATTAAGAAGGCCTTAAATGCAAAAAATGTTGAAAATGTTGTAGCTGAATGTGACAAAGTCTGTGAAATTTAATATACAACCACAAAGCTTTGAGAGAGAGTCGAACAAGACTTGATTTTATCGGTTTTT